TAATTTTGCCAGGGTATACTCACCAGAGTCAGAACAAAAGTGCTGGAGTGCAACGAAGCACCTGCCATGGGCATGGTCACACAGCAGTCCTTTCTCTTCCACTTCTCTCATTTCGGGATTTTGGGCATGCACACATATGTGCCCGGCGTGGCTTTGCAAGCCACTAGGTAGGGAACTCTAACCACAAAATTAGCCATGTGGAATCTAGGTCACCTTAACCACCAGGCGATGGACTCTCCCAAAAGCCCAGATTCTTAAATCTCCCTGGCTATGACCAGGGCAAGCTGCGTGGCTTCACTGTTCAGGGACTGACTTGGGGTGGTTATGACAACACTGTCTGAGTACCTGAGAGGCAGTAGTGGCTGAAGCATTCCAATAGTCACCCAGGAAAGCACCTAGGGCAGCGGTCCCCAACCTTTTTGGTATGAGGGACTGCTTTTGTGGAAGACAATTTTTCCATGAATTGGGGTGGGAGTGGGGATGGCTTGTGGAAGATTCAAGCACATTACATTTATTGTATACTTTATTTCCATTATTATTACGTTGTAATATATAATGAAATAATTATGCAGCCCACCATAATGTAAAATCATTGGGAGTCCTGAGCTTGTTTTCCTGCAACTGGACAGTCCCATCTGGGAACTTCTTTGAGAATCTAATGCTGCAGTTGATCGGACAGAAGGCGTTGTTCAGGTAATAATGTGAGTGATGGGGAGTGGCTGTAAATACAGATGAAGCTTTGCTCACTCATCTGCCTCTCACTTTCTGCTTGTGCCCCAGTTCCTAATAGGCCATGGGCCAGTACCAGTCCATGACCCGGGGTTTGGAGACCTCCGACCTATGGTACAAATAGAAGCCTCCCATTACATCCATGTTGCTGCTTTCTTGGGCAGCCAAGAAGTTAAAGTGGGTTTTCTTCCTGTGCTGGTATCAAAGTTCTGTCCACCCTGTAGTCATTTCCTAGGTCTGCTGTAATCAGGCAGTACAAACTGGGTGGCTTAAAACAACAGAAACTTACTATCTCACTATCTCACAGTTCTTGAGGCAGAAATCCAAAATCAAGATGTCAGAAGTGTCTTTTTTCTTCCAAAGCCTCTAGAGCAGGGTCCTACCTTTTTATCCCCCTAGCTACAGGAAGTTTGCTGGCAAACTTGGTGTTCCTTGACTTGTAGCTGCACAACTCCAATCTCTGCCTTTGTAGTGCCATGGTATGCTCCCTGTGTGTCTCAGTCTTCACGTGGCTATCTTTCTATAAAGACATGAGTTGCATTAGATTAGGGGCCCACTTACTCCATATCACCTCATCTTAACTAATTGTATCTACAACAACCTTATTTCCAAATAAATTCACATTTCAGCATCCTGGAAATTGGGACTTGACATATCTATTTGCTTTTCCTTCTTTTCTTTTCTTTCTTTCTTTCTTTTTTTTTTTTTTTGAGGACACTATTCAACTCATAACAACCACTTGGATACTTAACATCCTTCCTTTGTAGTAAGTCATTCTTGTTTCCAAGGTAGTCAGCTGGCCATCTGGAACCTGTAAGGCTGCATGTTATACATGCTAACTTAGAGAACATAGCTTTGCCAGTGCCTGATAGGTGCTAACTTAGAGAACATAGCTTTGCCAGTGCACACACACATAACTCTCTCAGCCTTGGGTGTTTGAGGCAAACATTATTCTTTCTGGATGTATTGAGCACACCAAACTGCCTTCCCATGTGGGCGTCAACACCTTCAGAATTTTGATCTGTTTTACCTACTCTCTGACCAAGAATTTTTTTTTCCTGACCTGGCTAGGTCGTACTCACTTCTTTCAACCTTTTGTTACATAAGTAAGTAAGTATCGTAAGTCTCCTGGCCTGTGAGTTTAGCTTGTATCTTCAGCAGTTTTTTTTAAATATAGTTTTCCCGGGACCAGCAGTTGGCATAATGGCTGTGTCGCTGGAGTCCCACGTAGTCGACCACGGTTCGTGTCCCGGGCCCAATGGCTTAAAACTCACACCAGGCGCGTGTGTGTGTGTGCCCAAGATCCCAAGAGGAAAACGGAAGAGAAGGAATTGCAGCGTGGCCATCCCCCCAGGGGTGATTTCTCACTTTCTGTCTCTCTGTCTCTCTGTCTTTCTGGTGAGCACATGCGCCCTATAGTAAAAACCCTTCCCAAAAAAAAAGAAAAAAAAATTATATCCTTCCCAGGGCCAGCAGGTGGTGCAGTGGTTAAGGCACTGGACTCCCACATGGTTGACTGCAGTTTGAGTCCCAGACCCAGCAGCTTGAAAATTATGCCAGGAGTGTGTCTGTGTGTGACCAAGACCCCAGAAGGAGAATGGAGGACAAAGAATTGCAGCATGGCTATCCCTTCTGAGGGGTGATTTCTTACTTTGTCTCTCATTATTTCTCTCTGGCGAGTGCATGTGCCCTATTGTAAATGATAAATAAATAAAATAAGAACAGTCTTCCTATTAATCAAAACTCTGGGGATCAGCAGGTGGCATGGTGGTTAAGGCACTGGGCACTCCCACATGGCCAACCAGGGTTCTAGTCCTGAATCTGGTGACTTGCTTTCTCACTTCCTCTTTCTTTCACTCTCAACTTCTGTCTCTCTCTGGTCAAATTAAAAAATAAATTAATGAATAAATAAAATAAAAAATAAATAATTATTAAAAAAAAAAACTCTGAAGGTGTTGAGGCCCATATGGGAAGGCAGTTTGATGTGCTCAGTGCATCCACAAAGAATAATGTTTGCCTCAAACACCCAAGGCTGAGAGGGCTGTGTGGATGTGTGTGTGTGTGTGTGTGTGTGTATGCATTGTCTATATTTATTTTTTCTTTTCTCTTTCACTGTCTCTCAGTAGTCAATTTCTTATAATAAATAATATGAATAATAATATCCTACATTTGCATAGAATTTTAAAAATATTATTTTTATAACGTTTACACCTACCTGTGAAGATGCTAGTCCGACATGATTATAGATAAGGAATCTAAGATTCTGCCAGGCCCAGTGCCCATAGACAAAGTGGGGAGGTGGGTAGCAGTGATTAGAATTCACTCAATTAAGTGATTTTCAACTCAACCCTTTCCCACTGTCAATATTAGTATTGCTTAGCCAATATTTGCATCGAATACATGCCAGGTACTATCCTAGCCTGTAGCAAAAAAAGGAATGCAAGCCTAATTTGTGTTTATTGGTGGTGATGGCAAAGGTTTAGGGAAAATAGTTGCTTAATCTACCTAACTAAAAAAAAGTATCTACCCCACTCACCATCATATGTAGGGAAGAATTAAACTAAATATTTGTAAATGACTAATGTTCAAGGAAAAGAACCAAAATTGTCACTACTGTGTTTATTGACGACACCTAGAGACTATGTTAAATAATGCCTTATATTTAGCTGGTGTGCACTAGTGTGGGTGTGCTAGCTGCTGTAAATATTCACATATTTCCATTCTGGATGGTAAATGGTTGCTTTTCAGAGCTCCTTGAGTGGAGTCTCCTCAGCTCCCAGAGGTACCTTTCTCTCTCCCCAAGATATCCCTGATCTGCTAAGGATTACGGGGGTAAGGTCTATTTGGGAAGTAAGGTGCTCCAGTTTTGGTGGATCTTCCCTCCAAGGGCCCATGTCACATACCAACTGATCATGGGATATTTTGAATATTGCTAAGAAACTTTCATGTACTGAGACCAACTAATGTATCTGGGACTGTGATAGGTGCTTTTTAAAATACATTGTTTGATTTTATTCTCACAATAGCACTCAGTAGTAGATACTCTTTTCTCCATTTTTCCACTGAGGAAAGTAAAAATTAAAGAGGAGATATTGTGTTCAAATTCACATACCGAGTTAGATGGTCTGACTTTTCAGAGAGCATGGGAAAGCATGCCCTGTTTTACTGATGAAGAAACTAAGGTCAGGAGAGGTCACTCTTGCTGTTCACTTTAAGTACATTTGTATGGAATGCCCAGTGTGGAAAACATGCCAGCTAGTTGAGATTGCTCACCAAACAAAGACATGCAGAACTACAGTGGAAGGATGCTTCTAAACTGGAGTGTGACACACACCATTTTAAAAGATGCACGTGAAGGACATAATACCCGTAATTTATAGGATGACTACACATTACAATTCCACCAGTGCAAGAAACAGCCTACGTATTGAGCATCCAGTATACTTGGCATCTTCCTAAAACAGCTAAAAGTCTGTTTCTGTATTGGAAAACAGACTTGTGGATAAAATAAACATTTGCTTCATTTTAGAAATTCTTTTTTTTCCTTTCTCCTTCCATCTGCTTGCTGTTGCAAACAAGAGCTAATCAGCTGAGCAGAGAAACAGATGTGCTGTGACGGCTCCAAAAATGGGTCTCTCTCTGTCTGACAAGGGTCGTTGACAGGGGACGGTTGCCATAACAACCAGCTTACACCAATGCAGAAATATCACAGGCTTTTTGCAACCATT